GGGATTCTCAAAGTGGGGTGCGCGAGGTGAAAAGTGTAATGGCTGCGGAGCTCAGAGAAGTCTGTCAAAAGTCACCATTAGCGTAGCCAGAAACCCATTTGTGGGTGGGCCTAAGAAAATATAAGTGGGCCCAATAAACGTAATTGAAAACAAGTATATTTTGCTTGTGTGTGTGTGTGTGTGTGTGTGTGTGTGTGTGTGTGTGTGTGTGTGTGTGTGTGTGTGTGTGTGTGTGTGTGTGTGTGTGTGTGTGTGTGTGTGTGTGTGTCCTCCGCACATGCCCTAGCTCAGGGGTCGGCAATCCGCGGCTCTGGAGCCGCATGCGGCTCTTCCGTCCATCTGATGCGGCTCTCTGTACTTGTAAAATAATGAATGGATATTTAATTAAAAAGCTTTATATTTTACTGCATTAATTTTACATCTGTAAGCTAATTCTAAATGTAAAGATTGTCTGCGTAAACCTGAACAGGTCCAACCCGGTCTACTCTGTGACCGGGTTGACGCGTCACGCTTGTGCGTAATCATATAGGCGCTTTCTGAGCTGAAGACGATGTGAGATTCTGGGACTCTCCTCAGACAGGCTCCTGGATGTGTCACCACATTGGAGACAGGGACAAGCACAATTCAGCCAAAGTTTCATCATCAGGGAACAGTTTCTAAGTGACAAGTCTCTCTGAGAGACCGGGTTTGGAAAACTCTCGCTTCAGTGGAAGGAATCTTCCCGCATGCGCTCTGGTTCTGCAACGCACTCCAAGCCCCTCTCCACATCTTCAGCTCGCTGTGCACCTTATGTACGCGCTGACAGTGAGCTGCGCTGAGCGGTGTCCAGCTCAGATGTTCAGAAGGAAATCTTTTCTTGAGTGATTTAGCTACATCTGCGATTTGCGAAACGAATAAAGTGTCAGTTCGTCTGCATGCGTCGGGGTAATTCTTTCTATTCTTTCTCCGTCAAAATAAACGGCCAAATACGGGAACTGTCTGGTTAACACAAGCCCTGCTTTTAACTGTTTTGTTTTCTTGTGAAAATAGTTGCAAATTTAACTTGATTAACACCGGAGCCAGGCGAAACATATGACAAAAGTGGCACCTGCTCAGTAAAACCACCAACAGGGTGAAAAATATCTAAATATTGTAGGCAGAGACGGGCTACAACTTCTGGATCCATGTTATATAAATCGTTTTATTGATTATCTTCTTATGAAAGATAACTTTGACGTACACGAGCGACCGGTACTGGCTGCTGTCACCTGTTGTGAGCAGCTCTCTACTGTCTGAGGGTAGGCCCCGCCCACAACGCCGCAGCTGCTGTGGCTCCCAGTGTTTTCTTTACTGTGGGAAACAGGTAATGATGGCTCTTTGATGGGAACAGGTTGCCGACCCCTGGTTTAGCGTGACGTCTGATACATACATATATATATATATATATATATATATATATATATATATATATATATATATATATATATATATATATATATATATATATATATATATATATATATGTCTCCTGCCTGTGGAGAGAGTGAGCAGCACCAAGTTCCTGGGTGTGCACATTACAGAGGATCTCTCCTGGACGAACAACACCATAGCATTGACGAGGAAATCACAGCAGCGTCTCTTCTTCCTCCACAAACCAAGAAGAGCAAGAGCACCAGCCCCCATCCTGTACACTTTCTACAGAGGCACCATCGAGAGCATCCTGTCGTGCGGCATCACTGTGTGGTTCAGAGCCTGCAACGTTTCATGCATTAAAACCCTCCAACGTATAGTGAGAGCAGCAGAGAAGGTCAATGGGGTCTCTCTCCCCTCCCTACCAGACATTTACAGCACCCGCCTCACAAAAAAGGCCCTTCGCATTGCGGCTGATCCCACTCACCCGATGCAAAGCCTCTTCGAGCTGCTGCCATCAGGGAGGAGACTGTGGAGTCTCAAGGCCAGGACCAACAGACTGAAGGACAGCTTTATCCATCAGGCAGTTAGGAAGCTAAACTCCCTCCCAACTCTCCTCTCTCCCCCCCCCCCCCCCCCCCCCCAGTCTCTCTGAACTTGGTTACTGTTTTTATACTAAATGTTTATTTTCTATCTAGCGAGAGTTTGAGAGTAACGTAATTTCATTTCTCTGTATGTCCTGTGCATGTGGCAGAAGTGACAATTAAACTGACTTTGACTTTGATATATATATATAGCCATGCCCTGATGTGGGGCTGGGGGGTGCGTTAACATGGTCGGGACATAGAAGGGGGTGCGCGGCTAAATAAGTTTGGGAACCACTGTTGTAAACAAATGCAACACCACTGAATCTGTGCTTCAGCTGTACTTGTAACAGCTCCTAAGGATCACGTGCTTATCCTAGCAAAACTGATAGTGATCATAAAATAATCAGTACAAAGATATAAAAACATCTCAACAACAGGCTGTCAATCAAATTTAGCTTAATGTAGTCGGGTCTAGAACAGGCCAGAAACAGACACCTTTATAATGCATGGAACCTAACTTTTGATCTATATATATGCATCACCCTGGGATTTATCAAGATAAGCCTTCAAATATATTTGTACACACTTGCCAAAACGCACTGACCATAGAACTAACAGTCCCATCATTACTTTAGATCAGAACAGCAGTCATTGGACAGGACATGCCCAGGTATCATAGCTTTGATGAAGTCTGTCCCCTTAATGTCCTAATGAACAGCTGGACAGAAGCAGCACAGAGCCCATCTCCTACTGGTACCAGGGGGTCTTTCTGACCCAGTGGAGGGTGAAACCTGCATCTGTTCTGATCTTAATAGAAGCTGCCTCAGCCTCTCTAACCGTCTCCTTTACCGACTGCATCAAGTTCTGAGCGTTGTGGACCAACATCTCAGTGGCCTGCAGGGGAGAGAACAGTGATGAGTGAGACTTCAAGACTCGACCCAAAAGCTGTTGTAAAATTCATCTGGACTGCACCCACCTGTTCGGACTCCTCGTCACTGATATTGGTACGACCCAACATGGTGGCCTTGACTGTGGACAGGATTTTAAGCTGTGTGCTGATGGTGGGAATACGCTCACACACCTGAAGCAAAGAGGCAGGTTAAGTTCAAAATAATAAGGAGTTAAATGCTGCTGCTCCACCAAATGCTGCCGTGTTCAGACCTGGAGCAGGTTGGTCCGGATACGTTTGTCAGTACACTGCTTAGCCACCTCCTTAGCCAGCCGTGTGACCTCATCAGAGGCCTTAGCTATGTCCTTGGCACACTGGATTAGGGCACGCTTGTTTCCACTTCCTCCACGCACCAAACGGGACATCTCTGCCATCAGTGTTGGGCAAGTTACTTCAAAACTGTAATGCATTATTTATTACTTGTTACCCTCATTTTCATGTAATTGATTACATTACAATATTACTGATTTTAAAATGTAAGGCATTACACTACTTTTGCATTACTTTCACCTAAACAATTTCAATATGAATCAGGTCATGTGATGCTCAGTGAACTCATGACACATGCAGAGGAAGGTGATGTGGTGTCTGAGCTAGGATTGCTGTTAAAAACAGTCAGATATAATAACAGTGCTTTAAAATGATTGTTTATTAAATAAAAGCAACAACAATCTGTACTCTCAGCATGCTGCCATCTTAGATTAACTCAGCAGGATGTGAGGTGGTGGGGCTTCAAGCCTATTTTGCCTTGGTCCCCAAATGCCTTGCTACGGCCCTGGATGTGGGACTGACCTCTGGGGTGATCTGATTCTATCACATGTATAAATATTAAATGCTTATATATTATTGCTTTTCACTGGTAAAAATGTGAATTGGGGATAAATCTACCTACTTTTTTTCTTTTCAAGCACTTTGTTTTGTTTTCTTGATTTTATCTGAAAAATTTCCTGCCCTTTCACTCTCTAACCTTCCTGCATGCTGCATGTTTTCTCCGTCTTCCAGAAAAAACTGTTTCCTAGATTTCCTACTTTCTAACTAATCAGCCAAAGGGATCTACCGAACGCAAAAAAAAAAGCTTAATATGCGCTGCTCTCCAGCAGCAATGAGTTGAAATCACCGGGCGAGGGCACAGATTATGAACTCAGTTGAGGCAAAGCACGTCAGAAAAGTACAGAGAATATGGGCTGATATGAACGATCGCAAGTGAATTATTTTGTTTTGGTGGAGCGATTTTACGAACATAACAGCGGCTGCGCAGGACGCAGCTGGAGTATTTGAGCCGTTACCGCTGCGTCCTCTCTGCTCATAGAATGCCCGCAAAGCGGAGTCCATAAATGACGTCATATATGTGGATACCGGATCTTTATTTTGGGCTTTCCGCAATTTTAACTTTTAAGAAACCCACATCTTGATTCTGGATTTAAAAATGCATTGTAATTACCGCGTTACTGACAACTGTACCGAGTAAATATTACCATTTTCTTTCCCTGTAATGCCTTACATTACCACATTACAGCAAAAAGCAATGCATTACAGTAATTAATTACTTTTGTACTGCTTTACTCCCAACACTGTCTGCCATGAGCAGGGCCATTCGTTTGGCAGCACCGATGATGTCATTTCCCTACAAGAGACACATGATCACCCTGAACACAAAGGTTTTCAATG